AACTGCTGTTTTACGCACAAAACGTCCCTGGGTGGGCTCGAACCACCAACCTTTCGGTTAACAGCCGAACGCGCTAACCGATTGCGCCACAGAGACACCTGTCAGTGGTAGTGGGCGTGGCCTCCATATGTGGGCTGGACAGAGGTGTGGCTTGTTGTTCAGGCCACACCCACTCACACTAGCATTTGTTATTTATTGCTGAGCCAAACGCACCAAAAGAATTCGCAACGGAGACAGCCCCATGTGGACGTAGCCCCGTGCTTCAGTCCACGCCCATCTGCATTTGCAGTCAGTGAAATGTGAAATGCTTTCCTGTGACAGTTAAATTAAAAATACACGTTTATTTTTATGTTAACCACATCCTGATTCATACCTTCCGACCTGATATTGATATTTCCGCCATCCTCAATAGGAGAAAACTATTTTGAGCACCCTCGAGTGTTTTCCACCTGAACAGAGTTTGTGCAAGCATTTAACTGAAATCGCAGAAACGTAACTACCAATCTTGCAGCTATGCTAACCAACTGTGCTATACAGAATCATGTGAATGTGTTTGGGCCTGATCTTCAATTTGAATATTGGACACATTTGTTTTCTGTAAGGAAATTCAATGTTGCTGGCCTCTGTAATGGAAAACAATGCATCTTATTTTATAAAATATAGCTTGTGTGTAATAGCATGTCTACAAAATCTGCACAGTAAACATAGTTACAATTGCAATGACACTTTTTCTCATGTAGTGTTTGTATGTTCCTCTCTTTGCAACCACAAAAACACACAATATTTGTGAAGTGAAAATAAGTCACCAAACACTATGTGTGTGTTTCTTTACCAGCTGCCTACAGGAAGGGGAGTGACTGTTAACTCCCCTTCACCCAACCCACAGACACACATACGAAACCACTTGTAATATAAGAGGAACTTGTTTGTCACAACATGTGGGAGGTTTTGTCACTCATAAACTTTTAATTTAATACTCTTGTACACTTTCATTTTTAAAACCTTTTCTTTTTTAATTAAAGGACAAAGACACAGTCTCGCACACTCAGACTCCTACTCTGTATGATGGGATCATTCAAAGCTGAACAAATGAATTACAACAGCACAAACAGGGCACGAAAATCAAGGTTGCATTTTGCTAGAAACAATCACCATAGCATTTCATTTTGGCTGCATGAATTATGTCTTATGCTGATAACAGTTCAGACATTATGGAGCTGATATTGAAATATTTTACACATTTATCCTTTCTCCTTCCCTAGTCCTGAAGGAATCGCTCACCCTGAGCTATCACCAACATGTCGGATCAAGGTGCCACCCCGACTCCTTCTCCTGCTCCCCCTGCTCCCACCGGACCTCGTCCCAAGATGACAAACCGTGGTCGCAGCACAGTCCCAATCGACAGCTCCAACTCAAGCTCAACGGACGTCCCTGAGGTTGAGTACTTTGGTGTACCAGGCCCGAGAGGATTTCCGCCTCTGACTGGTGAGGAAGGCGTGTTACAGCATCTGTGTGCATTTGTTTGTTATTCTGCTTCAACCCTTAGAAAAAGATGATGTATGAAAATATATGTGCATTGAAATGTGTCTACATCACATGTATAAAAGAAAAATGTAAAAGTTTGTTTCAGAAAACAGATGTGACAGTGAGTCCCGGTTGGAGAAGATAAAGTCCTTCTCCTATCAGTCACACAGCTTCCAGTAAACTTTGCACACGACTGACATGTGAATGACGTCCAAACAGGATAAACTGTGCTCCCTTCCTGCAGCCTGTCACTACTCTGCAGGCTGGACTTTAGTCAAAGAGCTGCGCGCTGAAAGATATCCAGATGTTGCAGGAATGTATGAATACAGTGACTGGAATTCCAACAACCACAAATGAATTGTGTACCATGTTTTCCTGCTTACACACCACTAATGTTTTTGATGAGACCCCAAATTGTGTTCATAAAAAATCTAATTGAAACCTTGCAATGTAAAAAAGCATTTTTAAGCAATTTGAGCTGTAATTTATTGGATATTTACTGGTGTTTTACAGATTTTCCCTGTTTTGTTACATTACTTAATTCAACAGTAATTGGCACTGTGATCTTACAGCAGGATAAAAAACACAGTGTGAAGATACAATGACAAACTCTGATTTCTATCCCCGTCTTTCTCCGTCCATTCAGAGTATCTGGACATCTGGGACGTGGACATGATGAAGAGGCCGGATGAAAGCAACAAGATAAGTCACCACACCATGCTGTTTAACTCCGACTATCTCGTTGTCCGCCGAGGGCAAGAGTTCCAGGTCAAGATCACTTTCAATCGTCCCTACAAACCTGCCGAGGACAAGTTCGCTGTGGAGTTTATCATCGGTGAGCCACAAGACTGCAGTTTATTTGAGTACGCTTGATTCTGCAGAGGCCAAAACTGGTTGTGATGAAGGCGTTGGGATCAGACAGTGAATACATTTTAAAGTAGCACTATACAATCCAATGCCAGCAAACTCTGCAGTATTTCCAGTATTTCCATTTATCTTCTTCCTGCTCAGGTTCCAGCCCTCAGTACAGCAAGGGCACCTACATCCCTGTGTTCCCCACAAAGGAGCGTCAGAGCACCTGGGAAGGCCGCATCACTAAGACCTCTGAAAACATGGTCACCATGGCCATCACCCCAGATGCAAACTGCATTGTGGGCAAGTACCACATGTACGTCGCCGTGCTGACGCCTCACGGCATCCGCAGGACCAGGCGGGACAACAGCAGAGACCTCTACATCCTCTTCAATCCCTGGGCGGCAGGTTTGTGTAGATCCCATAAACATACAGTTTGGTGCCTTGTTGGAACATGATGTTTTGGCTGTCGTCTCACTTTGTCGTCTTCCCTCAGCTGATGCTGTGTTTCTGGATGATGAGAAAGAGAGGCAGGAGTGTGTGATGACCGAGATGGGGATCATCTATCATGGCGCCTTTGACGACGTCGCTGAGAGAGACTGGAACTATGGACAGGTAGGAGACAAACAGATTGAGGCCGTCCAAGACTTATCTATCAATTAAATCTTGTGACTAAACCTTTTTTTTCTCCCCCTCCTAGTTTAACTATGGAGTCCTGGATGCCTGTCTGTACATCATGGACAGATGTGAGATGCCCATCACCAACAGAGGAGACCCCATCAAGGTGACCAGAAAGGCATCTGCTATGGTGAGAACAAAACATCCTCGGTGTCCTACGACAATCCACAAATGCTTACGATAGTCGTATTCCACTTCGCCGTCTTTAATCAGAGCAATACACATCTAACATCTGGTGTTTATCTATCCAGCTGAACTCTCGTGACGACGAGGGCGTGTTGGTGGGGAACTGGAGCGGTGACTACACCTACGGAGTGGCGCCCACTTCCTGGACCGGCAGCACAGACATCCTGCTCAGCTACGCCAGCAGCAAGCTGCCCGTCTGCTACGCTCAGTGCTGGGTCTACGCCGCTGTCTTCAACACCTGTGAGAGCTTGACTGGGTCTAAGTAGTTCAAAAACGTTGTATCACTTCTTCTTAACTCTCACTAGTTGTTTTTAGCTTCAGACCTTTGTGGGAAGGGTGATAATGTTGAAGAAAGATGAAAACAAGAAGTCATAAGGTGAAAGGAAAAGGCAACCAGGGTGCTGTAACTAAGCAGTTATTCATGCAGCCTAAGCCTTAAATGCCTACATTATCTGTAACACCAAAGTAGTTTACTTCATTTCACTCCTAGACTTGAAGAGCTAAGAACAGAAGGGCAGAGGCACATTTTTAAAAATCTTTCAACCCTTTTCTGGCTCAGTTGAGAAGCTTCTGTTCTGATCGATTAACTCATCGGTTCTCCTCCTTGCATGTCGTTATACGTTCTGTCTCTGTGTTCTAGTCCTGCGCTGTCTGGGCATCCCATCCCGGGTCGTCACCAACTTCTACTCCGCTCACGACAACGACGGAAACCTGAAGACTGACATAATCTTGGATGAGAATGGCAGGATTGACCGAAACCGCACCAGGGACTCTATCTGGTACCACATCCTACATTTAGTGCATCATTTAAGAGTCATAGTATGTTGTCTCTGTTTTCCTTTTCTCTTTAGTGTTTCATAGCTTTTTTTGTTTTGCATGTGAATGTTTCAAGCTCAAAATCCATACCAAAGTGTGGCAGCAATATACAATATGAGATTTTTTTAATTATTTTTTTTATTGTATTGTCTCATCATGTTTAAAATATTTTGCCAGGAACTATCACTGCTGGAATGAGTGCTACATGTCCAGACCTGACCTCCCTCCTGGTTTTGGAGGCTGGCAGGTTGTGGATGCAACACCACAGGAGACGAGTGATGGTAAAAAAAAAACAAACATGTTTTCATATGTATTTTTTTAAAATAAATATCTACAATGCAAATTAGGGAACCATTCTTTTCTAGGTTTAAGTAGATACTGTATTATTTCATTTCTCTCTCCATTATTGTTATGAAGGAATGTACAGATGTGGACCTGCATCAGTCCAGGCCATCAAACATGGACAGATTTGCTTCCCATTTGATGCTGCCTTTGTGTTTGCTGAGGTAGGTGGTTCCTTTAAACATGTTTCCTACGTTTTTCTTGAATTACTGAGAAAGTGATTGTGTTTAAAGTTTTCCTCCAGTCATGATTTAAACCTCAAAGTTATATAGTTAGATTTCCTACCAATAAAATTGCTCAGATATGATTCCAAAATGCGCTGCTTCCTCCAGAACTTGCAGATCCGTGATGTCTCTTCCTCTTTCTCTACCCACACCACTAACGGCAGCTTGTGTACACCCGCTAACTTACAACTTACAAAAGAAGATTAGTGATACAGAGAGCTCTACAATGCAAGCTGTTCCTTGGGTTTCTTGCATATGAAACCCAGGAAATCAGTGTTTTTGAGGCCTGGCATTGGTATACTACAGTTTCAGGGTGGAAATGCTCAGACGTGGCGATTAACTGATTATTTTGCTCATGATGTGTCTTCCACATTAAAATAAACCACATATGAACAATACTTGATTTTCACTTGCGTCTTTATCAGCTTCCACTGTTGTCCTGTTTTGCTCCCAACCACCAGCCCAGTATTTTTTTTTGCAGCATCTCCGTCTTCCTCCCCGCAGGTCAACAGCGATGTGGTGTTCTATTCCCGGAGTAAAGACGGCACCATGGAGCCGGTCAAAGTGAACCGCACTCATGTCGGCCGCATGGTCCTGACCAAAACTCCAGGAGACGTGACCCGACGCGACATCACCGATCAGTACAAGTTTTCTGAAGGTCGGTGACTTCAACAACTGCCACACAAATCTCAGTGTTTTAAGAAGCAGCAGAGCCGTTTCCACTGCTGCAGCCTCAGCTTCGGATTTGAGAGACAGACTGGTGTGTTTCAAATTCTGCCGCTATTCATTTAAGAAGAGTATTTTTTAAATTAATCTGCCATCATAACTGCAATGCCTAAAGTGTACGAACGTGAATACAGTTACCTTGACACAATGTCAGAATGAAAACAAAGACTGAGACACTTTAGCAGAAACACACTAAAAGGCTTTGTGATGGCTTTGATGGATTACCTTGCTCAGTCAGTCTCTAAATTAGTATTTTGTTTTGATTTTGGGCAAAACTGAAGTGGCAAATTATATGAGGACGTCTGACTGTTTTCTGGCACTGAATTACCACGTGCCCCACTATGGCTGCCAGATTAGACAGGGTGAGGATTTGGACGACTTGTGGTTTGAAAAGCATCTGTTTGGCTTTGTTCTGGCTTTGATTTATCCATAGCTGATGCTTTGAACAAGAATGCTTGGTCTTTAAATTCTAGTGGTGCATTTACCACAACTTTGGCAACGATTTGTTACCAGGAGACAGAGGATACCTTCACCTGAAGTAAAGAAACAGTCCCAACATCTGCAAATAGGCTGACAGAAATATGTTTCAATCCAGGCAGTACAGAGGAGCGGACTGTCCTGGAGAAAGCGGAGGAATACGGCTGTAAACGAGAGAAGTCCGACCCTCCTGTGGCGGACGTCGACCTGGTCCTGCCAACCCTGGAGATCAGCGTGGGCGATGACTTCGAGCTGAGCCTGGAGTTCATAAACCGCAGCGACCAGCGCCGTACCGTGGACGTCTACATCAGCGGGAGCGTGGTGTATTACACCGGAGTCACCAGCGCCGAGTTCCTGTTCAGGACCCCCACAGTGACTGTCGGCCCCCAAAAAAGTGAGTAAAGAGTGGAGCAGGGAGAGAAGGCCACCAGAAATGAACTATTTCAACTCTGAATTCCCTGCAGATGTCTCCTGTGAAGAAAAACACATGAAAATGAAAGAGCTCAGAGTCACTGGAGGGATGTTTGTTTGTGTTTTACAGCTGTTAAGGAGATGGTGATGGTGGAGTCAAAGAGCTACATGAAGCGTCTGGTGGAACAAGCCAACCTCCACTTTATTGCCACCGGGAAGATCCAAGAGACCGGCCAGATCGTCACAGCGATGAAAGTCGTCACCCTGCGCAATCCCAAACTGATCGTTGAGGTCTGAAAGGATTTTTTTATTTTATTTATTTGTTAACATCAGTTATTTGATACACATCCTAAATGGTATTAAATGTTTAAAAAAAAAAAATCCACTTTAAAACATTCCATCTTGTGCACTGTCTAGCACACAGTTGTTCATGAAGAAAAAGCTCTAAAAGTTAAACTTGTGAGGTTGTTGTTGTGTGTTTTATGTGTACGTCAGGTGACTGGCGGAGGCAAAGTGAGTGAAGAGATGATGGCGACCGTGGAGTTTACAAACCCCTTCACCTTCAACCTTGAGGGCGTCTACATTCGCATGGAAGGGCCTGGAGTCATGATGCCCAAGCTGAAATATTACAGGTGAGCTCCACGCAGAAGATAATAACAGGTGTGTTTGTGTAACATATAATAATATAAAGGTTTGGGCATGTTTAAAAAGTAGATTATTTTGTCATTTTCACCAACAACTATTAGATCTGTCTAAGTTAAAGATGATTTTATATATGGCTCAGGGTTTCTTTTAAGTGTTGGCATGTGGGTTTAGGCACATTTTCTGTTATAGGCTGCAGATAATTTATCAACATCATCATCAGAATGTCTGTTTAGATATTAACATTACATGATAAAAACAATAAAATCGCCATGTTTGATGTGAGTTTCTCAGGTGCCACTTTACAGTAATATTAGGAAACACCTGCAAAAATAATGAATGACTCCATCGTTTAATATATTATTCAAAACAGGCTGAGCTATAAATTGCTGTTGCTTTCTATTAACAAATCCTTTTTTACATTTGGATGAAATTCCCTTTGTTGCTAATGTTAGGACATTTAACTAGATAGTGAGTTAATGATTCATACATTAGTAATCATGTACTTTGAGTCTTTATTGTGTAGTATTACTGCTTCTTGATCCAGTATTTGTCATGTGTTTGATCATGATGTAACTGAAACTCTGCTGCTTTCAGTCTGATCCCAGCAGGCTCCTCTCTGACCTGGACCGAGTTCTTCACCCCGCACCGGGCTGGAAAGACCAGGGTGATCGCTACTCTGGACTGTCCTGCTCTCAGGCAGGTCCACGGCCAGGCGACGGTCACGGTCAATGCCTGAAGGTCCTGAAGGATCACTGACGTCCAGCAGCTTCAGCTACACTTCAGCCTGAATATGGGCCTATAACACACTTCTGTAGCTGTAGGTTATACAGTAGCTTTAGCATTTACAATAACAATGGTGATAGTTTTAAAATGCTGCAGAGCTGATATATTTAGGGGAGGCAAGTTCATGAAGAAAGATCTCAGAAAATTTTATAGTTTTCATAAAGAAGAATAACACTTTTAAGCTCAAAAGTTGAGAGCATTTTAATTTTAAAGCTGCATTAGTTCATCAATTATTGGCAACTAGGAGCCAGAATAGCCAAAAGAACCACACCTCCAGCCTTGATGTGTTATCGCAGGGAAACTTTATCATCCAGTGTCCAATTTTCTCGTGTTTGGTTATAGTCCACGGCTAATTTCTTACTTTATCTCAGCTGGCACAATGGAGTTATGAGATATGTTTCCCGAAAATGACTGACCCAAATTATGAAAGTGTGCCATAAAACCAAAACAACAGGCTAAAGGTTGCTAAAAAAAAAAAGCTCAGTAGATCTACAGAGTTGAGTGATTATTCTCTGAGGATATGAGCGACTCTCGCTTTTGAAATAGTTTATGCTCAATACAGATTAATCCAACTTTAACTTTGACACTTCAGCTGTTTTTGACATTGACTCCTACAATGCAGCGGATATTCAGTTAAAGTGTCAGTGTTTCTTTAAGTGTTTTTTCCAGCTTTGTGCAAGAATAAATGCAAATATCAACCGAATAAAGGATTAACAACTGCATGGTTTTATGACATGTCTTCAAACTGTGCATGTAGTCTGTGATGATATTCAGATGTCATCTTGCCCCGTTTCCCTCATTAGAAACCCCGTCTTCCACTTCACAGCGACACCATCAATGATTGAACAAACTTTATTTATGCTCAGACTTGTTCATGGCTTCCCAGACAAACTCAATATCATACATCACTTATTAAAAAGGCAGTGCCACAGAAGTCAGAGACAAAGTGCATCAGTGAAAGACTCTCATCCCAGCAGGTCCTCAAGCAGCTACAGTTACGTTTGTGCATAAAACCTTCATGATTTTAATTAACCCGTTCTTCTTCACAAGAACATAAAACATAGATTGTTGTAATCGTCGTAGTGTTCTCATTTCAAGTTCAATTTCATTTGGAAAAATACTGCTTCATACATGTAAATATCTATATATAATTACATTTTAAGTAAACATCAAAGAATCAAAACTCTGTCATTGGACAGACTTGCTCAGAGCGTTACTTTCATCATGGACCCCTCACTGTCACTTGAAGGTGATGAGGTAGTCTGGGTAAGCTTGGTTATCATGGAACACAACAAATATAGATGGGTTGTTGGTTGCATTCACCAGGCTGTCGTAGCGGTCATGAGGGACCTGGCTGTTTCGCGGTGGAGGCACCTTCATGTCCTTGTGGCCCTGAGTGTAGACGCCTGTCAGCACTCGAGCCACGAACATTAACTGAGAACCATCGTCTGCTGGCCTGGAGTAGGTGTGTTGAGCTGAGTAGTTGGCGTTTGCGGCAAAGTAGGTTCCGTGACCAAAATGGGTTGCTGAAAATAAGAAAAACAGAGTTTTAGGTCCTCGTCTGGCTGTTTGATCCAAGTGTTGAAGCTAATGGCATAAACTTTTAACTCTTTTCACCACTTTCTGAAAAAGCAGCAGTGGCGTGTTTCAAATAAACACCACAGATGCAGTATTTTCATCAGTAGTTATGGGACTGCATCAAAACATCATTACCATTTTGTCCAGCGAAGCTCCTGTTGAACCCAGTTTTCATGATGGAGTCGCAGTTGTCCTTGGTGGTGCCGTGGTACAGAAGCATTTCACCTGCTCCGCCCTCGTCTCCGTTCTTATCGGCAATATGCTTCTTCTGTGCTTCATAAGTGCGACGCAGATGAACGTTCTGCAAACGCTCAATCTAACACGACACACCAAGAAAACAGTGAGCTGCCAAACTTCCAGCAGAAGAGTATGACAGTCTAGACTTATTTGAAGTGGATTGCTTTCATTACACCTGGAGACAGGTTTATCCATTTCTATTATACAGGAAGCATCATGTTGTCATAGAGGCAGAAGTGCTTCACTTGATGGCAACTGAACTTTTCTTTTTGATTCTTAAAAACATTTCACCTCTCATCCAAGAGGTTTCCTCGGTTCTAACTTACTCATGGAAAGTCCCAGCAGGCTAATGGCCCGTTAACAACCCAAGACTCACATGCCTCGAGGTGGGAATGGTTATAAAACAGCACGGAGAGGAATGTATCAAACTGTTATTTGGTGATAAAACTTTCTGGGGGCAGGGATCTCAGGACTGTGTTACAAGCACCTGATGAGTGGCTTTGTACATGCTCCTCTTTTTTTAATGTTTATGGCCCTTGGAGATTATGGCATGCCCAATAACTCACAATAAATTCATTATGTCTGTGTGTTCAGATTTGAGCTCAGAGAAGAACCACAAATTGTGATACATGTAGTAAGACAAACGTGGTGTAAATGGAAAATGGACGGTGCCATTGTGCAGGTAAATCCAGTGTATGCTCCATGGAAAGCCACCCACCTTCATGACAGCCTGGGTGACAGTTCTTTTGAAGGCCTCCTTTACTGTGCGGTACTCTGCAGTGGAAGGGTCCAGTGTGACCACCTTCATGCCCTCGTCGGCGGTCATGCTGTCCCAGTACAGAGGGAGAGTAAAGTCTGAGGATAGAAAAACAAGCCATTTGTCTTATTTCATTTGGTCAAGAAAGGCAACAAGGCCTCATGTATAATAAAGAAAGCCACAGTAGGACCCAGCTTTATTTGATGACATGCTGCAAATATTCCATGCAGTAGCTTTGGGTTTGGTACTGAGTGAGATTTAAAAAAAATAAAAATCCACTTATTTGTTCATGGAACATCTGCATCTCCATGACAAATGAGGGCACTCTCTGCTGCTACTAAATGGACTGTGAGGTGAGCTTTAGTGTTTAAAAACGTTTGCTAACATGACTTTTATTCTTTACCACATTATCATTGCATTCAAAATCACAATACAGTCTTTTTTTCTTTTTTTTTTTTAAATTCTCAAGCATCAATATTGGCCCCAAAACCTCTTTGGCTGTTTGTGTAGCATCACTGTGAATCATCTTCTCACCTCCCAGATTCTCCAGTCGTTTCAGCTTCGTCTTCTGTCCAACCGATGTTGTGGCTTCCATTGTCAGTAGATTCACCCTCCACAAGATCCCCTGTGTGTCCACTATTCCTGCCGCTACATCCTTATTTTCCAGGCGGCGATTGGCTGTTTTGGGGACTCTTTCCCAGTTGCCACTTTGTCCCAGGATGCACCAGGCCACTCGGCTGTACAAATCCTCCTCTGTCTTGACTGTCATCTTCCTCTCGAGGTTGCTTTTCACAGCCCCATTAATCATCTGCATCACCTGGCTGACCCCGTCTTTCAGCCCGCTCACTGTCAAACTGCCATGCGAGTCCATTTTTGCGTGCAGACCCTCGGTCTCCAACAGGTGCATCAGGTCCTGCATGTCTTCATGGGTGAGGTTGAGCAGCTCCTCCTTTTTGAAGACTTGAGTGAGGCACTGCGCCTGGTACTGGTTCTTCAGCTTCTCCATGGCATCATCGACTTCCTTTTTGCTAAGACCCAGGAACTGGAAGACGGACTGCTGACTTGCAGAGCTGGTATGGAGCATGCTTAGGTCTGCTGTCACGGACGGTTGTGGCTGTGGTTTGGGAGGCAACGGAGGCAACGAACGCAACCACGGCGATGATGCTGGAAAGCAAGTAAAATAAATCAGTGAAAACTCCCAATAAAATAAGCTTCAATTCTGAAATAACCATACAAGAACAAGGCTATTTGTGAAAATTCCTGCCACCTTTGTTGTGCACGGCAGTGGAGAACATCTGCATTGCTTCCTCTTTAAACGCCAAGAAGACATTGATCTTAATCAGGACGAGGCGGATGTCAGTGAGGCTTTGAAGATGGCCAGAGGATGTGGAAACGTTGATCCCTCGGAGGATGGCACCCGCCACGACGCCAGGGTCCAACTGACCAGTCCCTGCACAGTTTCATTTCATTACCATCAGAATTAAAACACACACAAAAATCACACCAGGTGTGTTGGTTTTTGTCTACATAGCAGGTCTTATATAATATACCTACCGGCACAGATGGCTGGAATTGCAACAGACTGGAATCCAGACAGTTCACAGGTCTCAATGATGCTACAGACAAGTTCTTCAATAACTTGTGCATCCTTTTCTCCGCACACATGGAAAATGGATTTGCAGTGGAACTGTCCAGGCTCAGAAACGAAAAACTCTCCTCGGCTCACATTTGCTGCTCACAGAAAGACACAAGAAACATGAGTAAAAAGCTTGTGTGTGTGTGTGTGTGTGTGTGTGTGTGTGTGTGTCTTCCTGTTTTCTCACCTTCCTCCAGCAAAGCCTGCACCTCTGGTCCAGCTACAGTTAAAATGTCTTTGCAGACGCCATCTGTGGAATAAACATATGCAACACTCAGACTTCGGTGTGGTTGATATAAACAAAACATTTTGTACTAAAGATGTTTATATATTTTGCTCTGCTTTTGGCACTAGATGTAGAGTTATGGGACAAAATTCACTCCCATTCATTCTTGTATTGTTGCAGTAACTTCATTGAATAGTTGTGGAGATACTCCATCTACCCACTAGATGTCCTCATTCTGTCTTCCTGCTTCCAGACACATGACTCACCTCACCTCACATGTTCCCATTTCCCTATCAGCAGCTTTGTCATTTCCAGATTTATGCCATTTAGTCTTTGTTCTCTGCCGGGTTGTCATTTCCTACACTTGTGCTTTCTTGGCTGCAGTTGGCCCTTCTGATTCCTAAATAGCTTCTACTTTTTAATAAATCACCTAAATATGTTCTGCTCTGGACTGAACAATTTGGGGAAATTATGTAATTGTGATTTTTCTGAAAGATATTGCAATATCATTTTTTTAAAGTCATCAGTTCTGTATTTACCACAGAGTAGATTTAAAAACTTGAAAAGCAATGACAATACAACAAATAAAAGACAAAAATAGTCAAACATTAAAACTATTGAGCATAATTAGAGCATTTAAAATCTGAAAGCAAAAACATCAGCTAATGTACAAACAGCTGGAGATAAAACAAGATTAAATAAAAACTTTAAATTGCCCAAAGGAAGAAAAGTAGATCGATAGTTCTGCAGGCTATTCCAGGTTTGAGCTGCTCAGTAAGCAAACACACACAGGATACATCTAAATGATCTTTGTCATTTGCTAATTGCAGTATTTCAAATTGCAGTTTTAATGTGAATAACTGTTCTGACCTACTGTAAGGCGGAACTTATTCTTAGTATGGCTTGTCAACATTTTGTCATGTTGCTAAATCTAAAATACGTCTCACAGAATGGAACTTTTTGCAGGTATTTAGATGCATTGAAATTCACTTGATGGAGGAATTAGTAGAAAAATAAGAGACTGGCTTTACATTTTATTTTGTGGGGACCACGGCAATGTGTGTTTATTTATCAAGCAGATGCTGAGATTTATCCTCAATAAGTGACCCTCTCGTGGTGCTAAATGTCAAGTCAGGGGATCATGAACGTAATTAGGATCCACTGTTAATATCTGAGCCTAATTTCATGGAAATATGTCTCATACTTGTTGACTCAATTTCACTTTAAACCGAAATCATGAACATTTAACTGACTAACTTTACAGTTCTAACATGATCTTCCATCCAACCGTTGTTTGCCTTCTCAGCTCTTCCTTACCGCAATCAAAATTTGTGAAGTCGGTCGAGTTCACCACAACATCCGTCGTCTCATTGGTGATGTCACCAAACACCAACTGTAGCTTAACGCCGCCCCCCATGGTCATGGTGACGTCATCGAGGTCACTGGTGAGGGGTCTGAAGATTGCTAAGAGAAAGAACGTCACAACAAAATTTATATTTGTGTGGTGTTCGGTCCGTTAATGAAAGCAGTCTGAGTGGCTCTGTGGTTTACCTTGGCCTCCCTGGTTCATGTTTGAGCTGAGTTGTTTGAAGACCCTGTGGTAGCACTGCAAAGACAAATATAAAAATACCAACATTACACAGAAAAGACTACATGCTTGCATTTACTGACCAGTTATGGTAAGTGTTGACAGTCACCTCCTCTGAGTCAGGATAGCCGGTTTTAATGACGATGTGGATGTTGGAGATGGACCCAGCGGATGCAGATAATCCAAACTGGCAAACGCTGTTGGTCAACACCTGAACAGCTTCCCTCAGCGGGAATTTTAGCACAATTCCAGGTCCGATGACTGGCAAGGCCACGGAACTAAAGCGCTTCTGTGCACAGATGTCCAAACATGTCTTCAGGCCATTACTGAGAGCCTACAAACCAGAAGTCACACATTTTCTTACATTATTTTATAAAGTCCATCTTTGCATTGCATTACAATTATTTCATGAGCTAATCTAATGTTTTTTTCTAATTTAACTTCACCTGCGCGCTCTTTCCTCTGACTCCATCCCAAGGCAGGCACTCGATGAAGAAGATCTTGGAGCAGCCGAGAGACGGAGGCCCGTCAACCTGCAGAACATCACCAGGGGCGACGACACAGTTTGCTGCTGCCGAGTCAAAGTTTGACTTGAGTTTGTCCCCAGCTTTAGTCCATAGAGATGAACCCACTTTTGTAGACCTCAGCTGCTTTCCCAGCATGGGGACCACCAACACATTCACCTGTGGACATGATGTGAAATAACATGAGGGTGAGTTTTGCTTGTTTTACGATTAGATTATGAATAGTTGAACAGAATATAAATGTTCAAACCTGCTCATCTTCTAAGCTGCCAGGTATGAGCTTTATGCCTGGTTTGTTGACCACAGAGGTGCTGGCAGTGCTGGAGAGGCCTGTGGACAGTGCGATGCTGGGGGTGTTGCTGATGCTTCGTGGTCGGGGTACTACATTTGGTGAGTGAACACTTTGCTTTTCCCTGATGATGACCTGACAGGAGCTCTCTACCAGCTCTTTGCTCACTTTTCCATCTGTTTGGAAATATCGCTGAGGCCCCGGTCCATCTAGAGTTAAAGTACTGTATGTCAGACTGGCTAAAGCAGCCGTTAGGGCCTGCTTGGCTTCCTGAACATGACAACGGGGACCAGACAAGAGCACACAAGGATTTGGAAACTGTGACGCTGTTAAGGTCACTTTAGTCCGTTTCATGCCAATCAGGTCTAAAATTTTATCAAAACAGTCGACCAGTTCAGGATTTGGAAGGTTCAGCACTTCTTGAGTTGCACCGTGATTCACTTGGTAGTCATGAAGAACCTCTTTAAGCTGGTTCACAATCTCACTGTAGCCCACCAGTCGTACTTTAGTGGTGCCACTGGGTCCTGGGATGAAGCTGACGTCCACTCTGAGCTCGCTGCTGTTTGCATCATTCTTAGCTTTGTTCAGGATTTCTTTCACTCTGTCTAGATCTGGAGGTACAGCTGCAGCACCCTGCAGCTGTACAGTGACTACACTCAGGTCCCTCGACAGTGCTGCTTCAGCCTCATCCAGGGCATCAGAGGACAAACTGGACAGAACCAGTTGGACTCCCACATCTATGGAAACAGGATTTCTGAGGCTCTGCTGGAAGCGAGTCCGGTACTTGGCGATGGCACCGCTGGATGTGAGGAACGTTAATAAAGGTGTAGAGAGCTGAACTCTCTTTTCTTTTATCTTCTTGATCAGTTCGTCCAGTTTTGCAGCTGCTGACTGCACCTCCTCATCAGGGCCTTCCAAGATGATCGCCTCACTTCCTTTGAGGATTTTAACTTCTGGAAAACGTGCACGTGTTTCTCGATCAAACTCTTCTTCTACCAGTTTGAACTGCTTCTCCACAAATGGTACGGTCTTCCGGCTCGGCAGGTTTTTTTCCAGAGCTGCAATCTTCTCATTCACATCATTAACCTCTCCCACAACAACAGCATAACCACTCTCCTTGTACACTATTATGTCATCATTTGCAAAGGAAGAGTCCTGCAGCAGCATTTTGATTTCTTTTTGATCAAAGACATGATGGCAGAGGTAGCGGTCAGTGAGATTGATAAAGACCTGATCAACCTGTAGTTCCCATTTCTCTGCAGCACCACCAGAAGCCCCTCCAGGCCCCTTCTCAATATCCCCCCTCACCACTGCCTCCTCTTCATCAAAATCTAAGTCCACTGTGCAGCCGATTATTTCAAGTTGCTTGATTAATAGTTTGTTTGCTTTGGGGTTGTCTCTCAGGTAATACAGGAGAAAAACGTCTGGCTTGAAAATCTTCTCAAGACCTTTAGTGTTCCCTTTTGCACACGCCTAAAGAAAAAAAAATCAAATAAATGAATGAGCTCATGCTACGGTAAGACTTAAAAAACACACATTTAATAACCTATAAGTTGTAAAAGATATTAAAAAAAGGAGACACACTACATGTAACATATGCAGCATTTTGATTATTGGATGTTGACAGACAGGGTACTTTTTCTACATGTTCGTCCATGTAGCACATTTAACAATAATCGTTTTTCTGGATTTTCTAGAGAAATACCAGATATTATTATTATTATTATTATTATTGTTAACAACTTGCATCAAGAATGTTTGCGTCTGTACACTGCTTGTTTTGCTGTGTGACACCTGTTAAAAAAATTCCTGTTGGAAGCTTTCAGGAATCCCCTGAAACTGGTCTGGCAACTTCATTCTTGTGCGGTGCTTATCAGAATCAATAAAGCTTCTGGTAAAAGGAAACAAAACTCACCTGGAACTGGCTAGTCGAAGGCTGATCAGGACCCTCTGGTGAACTGGTTACGGTTAACAGACATTGTTCTCCATCAGGAAGAGACACGACGTGTTGCTTTTTCTGTAAAACCCTTTCCTGAACTGTGAAAAAAAAAAAGGCAAATTCAAAAGTCACAAACAGTCGACATATAAACTACAACTGCAAACTCTATTCGACAAAAACTTATGTCACTCGAGTGTCATCACCTACCTTCTTTGTCCTTGAAGCTGATTTTATAGATGTTGTTTCCAACCTTTTCAATGTTTCCACATTCGCCTCCCCCAGACTCTCTTTTTATCTGGAAGTATCTCCTGATCTTCTCCTTCTCTTTGCTTGTCAGATCTTTGGCTTCAAAAAACAATGAATGCACGAATTCATCCATTTTAACTGCAGTCCTAAACTACAGAAGTCACCTTTCCATGAGCACGTCCGTCTGTCCCGCCGTCCTGCCTCAACTGAGCCACAAGCTGTTCAACCTGGTTTCACTTTCTCTCACTGTGAGTGCCACTCCTTAACTTCCTTAACTTCCTTAACTCCTGTGTTCTATATTTAGCTTTAAGAGGCATTTCTCCACCGTCTTGATCGCTTTCATGTGTTGTGATTTCAAACCACTGAAAAGTCCTAAGAAATCCTAAACCAAAGAAACACAGTCACAGGTGTAAATCTCACAGCGTGCATTGACTACATGTCTGACTGAGACTAAAAGCTGTGCAGCAGAACAATAAAATCTGGAGATTGCATCTTACGGCTTGTTTTGTGTGGAGTTTTATTGTGCTTGTTATCATGTATTCACAGTTTGAGAGAAGAATAGAGCCTGTGATCATCGGGAAGTAGTCTGCAACAAGCCAAAGTGAGGATCGATCTAACACAAGGTGAACAAATGATTATTACAGAATCACTGATGTCAAGTATCGTTTAATTCAGTGACATTACACTTCATTCAGCAGGTGCAGCTCCAGCACTTGCAACCATTTTTAGAAGAGGTTAATAACATTTTGTTTCATGTCAAACACTATTTGGAAGTAAAGTTAAAAAACTAATTAACTAAAAAGCAGACATTTATTCTCTAGTTTTTTTGTTGTTTAATCTGCTTTTATTTTGTAACTGATCAGTTTTAAGTTATGTTTAAGCTTGTGTTCTATTTTAACCTTGTTTTTTTCCACAACAACTGTTGTGTACTTAGGCTGCACGTCCTGCTTGGTTTTGAAAGTGCTTTGTATGTGATTTTTGTTGGAGACACAAAGACAAAAAGAAAGACTCAGCAACCACAAACGATGCCAAAGTCAATAAAAATGTGAGTGACGCATACATTTTACTTCCAGAAAATTTTTAATAAAACAGAAGTCACATGTAATTATGCGGTCTGCAGTCAAAATGACAGCGTTTTTACATCAGCAGTGCTTCGTTTTTGTTATTAAAGGGAAGAAAATGCCTTCTGACGGCTGTGCAAGTCTGCAAATGCAATTCAAATAAAGCAATTTGACTGTAAACAAACATTATTCACATATGTAGATAGAGACCTGACTCGTTTCAGTTGGAAGCACAGATACACTCAGCCATGACTTACTGTTGGCTTCTTATTGCCATTATATGATCAGATCTAACAGTGTGTGTGCACAAGATGACACAGATAACTCTCATCCTACCAGAGTCCACTTCCTGGTTCACTGGTGAGGAAAACAACCTCCTCCTGCAGCTGAAGACAAAGTTCAAGAGCAATGACGTGATACCTGGTTATTATCCTACCAGCTTTAGTTTATGAACAACACTTTCTAAAACTTCGTACAGTAACTGATGATCAGAAACTCCGACAACGAACATGTAAATTGCCGATTCGCTCTTTCTACATGCATTTATTTCTGTATTCGGTCACACATTTTGTCATGATTTTCCACATATTCTTGCATTTTAGCTTCAGCTGTTAACAAACCTGAGACAAGTGTGTATAAAAGTTAGGGGGTTAGCTTTAAAGTCCAACAGAAATGATGCTAGTTCATCCTTAATAATCCTGAATAATATGGTGGGTAGTAAAGAACAAATATCAGAAATAAAGAAAGAGTTTGTCTCTTCAGACTATGGGCTGCTCCAAATGGCAATAAAAAAAAACAAGGAAACAGCAAACATAGCTCGATTTGAGTGATCATTACCTGCTTGGATGTCTTTTTACCACTCGACCAGTGCTTCGTGCCACTATTTTAAATAGTGCACATAAATGCTCAACAGGGATTTGAGCCAAACACGAGTGAGGACATTACCAATTCTAAATCCCCTCAACGACAGAAGGTGATGAGGTACTCTGGGTAAGCTTGGTTATCGTGGAACACAACGTACATGGATGGGTTGTCTGTTCTATCCACCACGCTGTCGTAATGGTCATGGGACTGCTGGCTGTGGCGAGGTGGAGGCACCCTCATGTTGCTGTGGCCCTGAGTGTAGCAGCCAGTCAGAACTCGGGCCACAAACATGGCCTGAGAACCATCATCTGCTACCTTTGAGTAGGTGGTATGGGCTGAGTAGCTGGCTTTTACAGCAAAGTAAGTTCCTTGACCATATGAAGTTGCTGAAAAGTGGGAAAATAAAAACAAAATATTAGAAATATATCATGCCTTTAAAAGTACTGCAGGCTTCTTTTGTAAATAAATGTTAGATTACAGAGTGGAATGAAGGATTCTTACCGTGCTTCCCTGCAAAAGCCCTGTTGAAGCCATTTGTTTTGATGGACTCACAGGTCTCCTGACTCGTTCCGTGGTACAGAAGCTTTTCACCTGCTCCAACATGACGTGCGTTCTTTCCTGAAATGTGATTTTTCCGCGCTTCATAGGTGCGACGCAAGTAAACATTCTGTAAACGCTCAATCTGGGAAGAAAAAAAATTAAATGGTTCAGCTGCAGAAAAGTTAAAGTTAGGGTGCAAATGGCAACTGGAACATGATTTTGAAATCTATACGTAATTTTTCAGTTTCAACCCACCTTTAATACAGTCTGTTGGACAGTTTGTCTGAAGGCTTTCTCTACTGTGCGGTACTCTGCAGAGGAAGGCTCCAGTGCAACCACTTTAAGATTTTCCCCATCAGCCATAGTGTCCCAGTAAAGGGGGAAAGTGAAATCTGAAAAAAAAACAAGATTAGACGAGTTAATGACAAAATGGAATGAAAAAAAAAGATAAAAGTGTCAGATACATTGCTGCAGCAGATCACCTTGTATTGCATATTATTTGACCTGTAAAAAGTTTGAGTTTAGCCACTTAGTGCATGGACTTTCCTAGAAACACTTGTTGTATCAATAAAATATATATGTACAGATAACTGTAAAAAAAAATAAAAAATCAAAATCAAAATCAAAATCAAAAGAATAAAAAATAACATTTTCCCCTAAGTAATTTTTAAATGAAAATGTAACTTAAAAAAAAAAACTCCAATAATCTCCAATAATAAAAGAATAAAAATAAAATAAAACCATAAAAAGCTAATAAATATATAAAAAGAATAAAAGAAACATAAAAATAACAGCAATGCTATTTTTAGTGGATTTAAACATGGTGAAAAAAAGTGTAATTTTATGGTCACACACTTAAAAAAAATAAAGTATTGTTATTTGTGAAAATACAGATTGGTATGTGCATGTACAGTTCTGGCTTCTTTTTTTTTTTCAACAATAAATACTACTATATACTAGATTTTATCTGTAATTTAACAAAACAGGGAAAATCTGAACAATAATATCAAACCCTTTTTAAAATGATGACATAAGTTCTAACTAGGTTGCATTTATTTGCATTTGGTACTTTGCAGTTAATCACACTAGGATGGTTACTGAAAGTGACTGGATGTGACTCTTCCTCGACTAGAACAACTTGAACCTCTGGCTGACACTGGAGACCAGTGAACAGTCACAAGGCTGAGCTCAGAACATAAATCCCACTGACGCTATTTTATCCGTACTGTCTGTGCTGTGACAATAATATCTGCTCTGTTTGAATCAAGTGTTATTTTTGTCAAGAACAACCTTCTCACCTGACAGATGCTCATGTCGTTTCAGCTTGGTGGTCGTTCCCATGACTCGTCTTATGGCCTCCATCTTCCCTAGATCTACACTCCACAGGATTCCCTGTGCGTCCACTATGCCTTTTGTGACATTATTACGTTCCAGGTTGAGGTTGGCTGTTTTGGGGAGTCTGTCCCAGCTGCCATTAGGTCCCAGGATGCACCAAGTCACACGAGAGTACAAATCATCCTCCTCTCTGACCCTCATTTCTTTCCTAAGCGGAGTTGCGGTGTGAAGCATCTGCTCCACCTGGTTGATGCCGTCTTTCAACCCGCTCACCGTCAAGCCGCCCCGGCCAGGCTGGTCCTCCTTCACATAGAGGCCCTCAGTCTCCACCAGCTGCTTCAGGGTTTTGACATCATCCTGGGTCAGGTCTTCTAGGTCTTCCCTTGTGAAGGTTTTGGTGGAGCAGTGATCCTGATACAGCTTCTTCAGCGCCACCAGGGCATCATTAACATTCTTTCTGGAGCGACCCACGAACAAGAAGACTGACTGCTGACTAGAACCAGAATGGAGGATGCTTAGGTCTGGGTTTACAGACACTGGGGACCGTTGTAACAGATGCAGCGGCTGAGGAACTGGGAAGTGAAACAAACAATAACGGACAGTGAAGCAGCAGGATTGTGATGAACAGAACACAAGAAAAGAGGACCTTGATGCTAAGATTCAACAAAAGCCTTTTTACCCGTGTTGATTACAGCAGGTGGAAACGTCTGCATTATTTGCTTCTTAAATGTCAAGAAATCGTTAATCTTTATCAGCACGAGACGGATGCTGGTCAGACAAAGGAGGGAGGAGGATGTAGTCGCAGTCTTGATCCCTTGGAGGATGGCAGGATCCAGCCCATCAGCTCCTGGACAAACCCAACATGAAGTTTTCACAACATTAGTTCAACTGTTAAAATCCACAGCTTGTTCTCATTCATTTTGGTGTCACATCATGTGTCTAATCCCTCTCAAATCAGCCATCCTGACACACTGTAAGACTCTTTGTCTGTTCTGGGGGCCTCTGAAAACTAAAGCATATATTTTCCTGATTTAATTAGAAATTTGATTGAATTTGAACTGTCTTTTTATTTTTTATTTTAATTATATTTTTTACGTTTTCTAACACTGTGTTGGTTTTCATGTTGTGCTTTTATCTGTCTTGTAAATGCAGATGATTTGATGACTTGTCTGTTTTGTTTAGTTGTTTTGTGATGCACTCCAAGACCTGTACTCCTCCAGAGTGAGGAAAAGGGCAGGAAAAATCCCCACAGACCCCTTCCACCCAGGTCATCACCTCTTTGACCTGCTACCTCCCGGACGGCGCTTCAACTAGCTCTACTCTGTGTGTGCTGTTTGTACACAGGACTGTCTCTGGAACTGAGAACCAATCAAAGTAACTTGGACATCCAGTGGTTTCATCCAGTGGCTTAAATTAAACAAGTGGTAAAATGATATTTCTAAAATGTCAAATGTGACAGTACCAGCAGAGATGGCAGGGATGGCCACAGACTGGTATCCAAAGGATTCACAATGCTGAATGATGCGACACGCCAGTTGTTCAATGGCGCCTGCATCCTTTTCTTCACGCACATGTAAAATGGCTTTACATGGGAACGATCCGGGTGGGGTTCTGAAAACAGCTCCCTGGTTCACTGTTGCTGCAAACAAAACAAGAAAAAGCTGTAAGAAGCTGTTTTGTAGGTGTTTTGTTTGGGAATGTTTTCCTCTTCTCTTACCCGTTTTCAACATAGCCTCCACACTTGGTCCAGCCACTGATAAGATATTTTTGCACGTACCATCTGTAAAATGAAGATCATTGCTTAATATACCACCCTCCTGCAACTACTCAACACATGCTACGAAATTCCTTCCATCAACAGCAGCTTTCACATACCAGTGTGAAAATTTGTGAAGTCAGTCGTGTTCACCACAGCGTCGGTCGTCTCATTGGTGATGTCACCAAACACTAGCTGAAGTTTAACCCCGCCCCCCACGGTCACGACGACGTCATCGAGATCACTGGTGAGAGACCTGAAGATTGCTGAGAGGAGAGATGGTCAAATATTTGTACTAGATTGTTGTAATGCAACATGCTGCATGTACTTGAGTGCTATAATGTTGAAGTACTCTCTGCTTTGCCCTGTTTGGAGTAGTTTGCATCTGCCTGTCATCCTGGAATGAACTTTGAAAAAACCTTGACTCAAGCAGACATGCCCCTTAGATGTGCTTTTGTTTTTTTGCTCTGTATATGTCAGTATTTTTGCTTTGAATGCAGGAGTTTTACTAAATGTGCACAAAATTTGCATTGAAATCTTTTACTCAGGTAAAGGATCTGCTTACTTCTGCTTCTAGGATACTGATATATGTTGCTTTGTGCTGCATATTTAACTCAGTTGAGTTATCTGCTGTCTGGCTTACCTTGGCCTCCCTGTTGAATTTTCAACTTGAGGTGTTGATAGACGTCATGGTAGCACTGTAAATACAAATAACTGCAGTGAACACCATCATCTCATATGAATGAATAGCAGCAAGTGTCACATGTGTTGCTGTTCAGCTATTAGGAGAAGAAATGTTGTTGTCACCTCTTCAGAGTAATGATCGGGTTTGATGACGATGTGGATGTTGGAGAGAGACCCGGAGGAAGAGGAAGATGCAAACTGGCAAATTTTCTCAGTCAGCACTTGGAAAGCTTTTCTCCAAGGGTATTGTAGAGCCACGCCAGGTCCGATGACTGGCAGGGCCACAGAGCTCCAGCCTTGCTGAACACAGAGGTCCAAACACCTCTTCAGCCCGTTGCCAAGTGCCTATTAAACAAAAAGCAGACAATTGTCAGACTGCCCAAATACTAGGCCTACTTTCATGATCACCCCTTGAATGCAGTAATAGAGTAGTGACATTAGGAGATGTATAGAGTGTGAAATACTTTTGCAGATTATCTGATTTGTTTTTTTTTTTAAGTTCATATTTGCTTCCTTGATGGAATTTCACCTGTTATTTCATAATGTGACTTTCCATGATAGTGACGTTGTCACTAATGACCTTTGAGTGGTACAGAAACAGGCTAAATGTGGAAGTGCATGTTAAGCTTGCAGGACATGGTAACTAGTTAGCCTGGCTTGGGTTAACCTACTTCAGCAGCACTGTGCCTTGTGTCACTCTGACCTTTTCCTTTTCCTCTCCAGCATATTCATGAACACATCATGGCACTTATCCAGGTTGTTTTCTCCTGACTAGATCCTTGCTTGTGTTGTATCTACTCTCACATGTCCATTGCTGTGGATAAAAGCATCTGCGAAATGACATTGTAGAATTGCACACCAAAGATTTAACTTTACCTGCTCACTCTGTCCGTTGACTCCGTCCCATCGCTGACATTCAATAAAGAAGATCTTGGAGCAGCCGAGAGACGGAGGCCCGTCGACCTGCAGAACATCACCAGGGACGACGACACCCTTTGCTGCCATCAGGTCAAAGCTTCTCCTGATTGCATTTCCTGCTTTCTTCAGTAGACATTTTCCAATATTGGTGGAACCTAACTGCATACCGAGCATGGGGACCACCAGCACATTCACCTGAGAAGATGTGCACATATTAAAAAATTGTGCACCGTCATTGATTTAAAGTACATTAGAATAGAATAGAGATGACTAACCTGCTCATCCACTAAACTGCCAAGCTTAATCTCCAGTTTTGGTTTGTTGGCTGTCATGTCTGCAGGAGTTTGGCACCATCGTCTGATAATAGAAGATGTGGGTGTGATGCTGTAGATGCTGCTGATGCTTTGTGGTTCGGTTTTCACATTTGTCAGTAGTGCACCTTTCCGTCCCCTGATAAGGACCTTAAAGGAGCTTTCTACCAGCTCTTTGCTCACTTTGCCATCTGCTTGGAAGTACCGCCAAGCCCCAGGTCCATCTAGAACCAAGGTGTCTGATATCAGAGTGGCTAGAGCAGGCATTAGGGCCTGCTTGGCCTCCCGAACATGACAGCGGCGACCAGACAAGAGCACACAAGGATTCGGAGAATGCAAAAATTTAAATGTCACTTTCCTCTGCTTCATGTCAATCCAGTCTAAGATTTCATGAAAACAGTAAACCAGGTCAGGGTTTGGCAGCTTCAGCTCTTCTTCTATCACAGCCTGATTAATCTGGTAGTCATGAAGAACCTCTTTGAGCTTGTTGACATTTTCACTGTAGCCCACCAGTCGTACTTTGGTCACTACAGGTTTTCTGGGTTCTGAGATGAAGCTGACGTCCACTCTGAGCTTCCCACGGTTTGCCTCATTCTTGGCTTTGATCAGGATTTCTTTCATTCTGTCTAGATCAGGAGATACAGCTGCAGCACCCTGCAGCTTCACGATCTCCACGCTCAGATCATTCAGCAGTGTTTGGAAAGCGTCATCCAAGGAATGAGACGACAAACTGGACAGAACCAGGTCCGATTCCACCTTTAAGGAAACGGGATTTTTGAAGCTCTGGAAGTGAGTCTGGTACTTGAAGATGGCATCACTGGTTTTAATGAAGGTTATTAAATCAATGGGAAGTTTAATTCTCTTTTCTAACACTTCTTTAGTGAGTTCATCAAGTTTCGCAGCTCCTGACTGCACCTCATTGTTGGGGCCCTTCAGGGTAATTGTATTTCCTTTGCTTCTGAGAATTTTAACCACTGGGTAATGCGTAGACATTACTCGAGTAAACTCTTCCTCCACCAGTTTAAACTGCTCCTCCTCGACAGGGCATTCCTTCTGGAAATGTGTTGTAAAAATCAGAAGGAGAAATTCTAGTCATCTTCAGTTTGCTGTATAAGACAGTCTGTAATGTTTTTTAGTGCTGATATTATGCACGTGTCCGATGTTTTACTCACCTGTGACTGACTGGTGGATGGTGGATCTCTGGCAGTATGAAAGAGATTCGTCCTGTCCAGACACAGCTGAATCTGGTTCCTTGCTGCAGAGAACAAATGTCTAAACAAAGCTTGCATACTGACAAAGCATTTTTATTAGCTAAACTACTGGCCTGGCTGCAATCACTGATTTTACCTCAATGAAGCTGACGGTTACATTTTAATTTTCATGTGAAACATCTTTTCTCAAAGTACCAATACAGTCATGCTACAAGTTAAAGCATCAGCAGCAAAATGAACATAAAGTATGAAAGTAAAAGTACTGATTTGGTCCCTTAATATACATGAGCAGTGTGTTAATGCTGTAGCTGCTGCAGGTGCTGCTTTACATTTCATTTACAGGGACTGCAGATAAACTGTGAGACAATAATGAATGAATCATGTACTTTCCACCACTTCCAGCAGGTCAGAATTTTCACTATATTGTCATCAGCCTTAGTTATAGTTCTTATTGTTAATAGTAGCTTCCTTCGGCCAATTCTTAACTATGATGGTAATGTGGTAAACAACAGCTGTTAGTGGAGTCTTGTTGACACAGAATTAACTTTAACCCAGTGGGATGCCTTACTTGCTCGTAGCTTAGAAAGGGCTTCAAACGCGTTGGCAATAACTTCTTCAGAAGAGTGTCTGAACGTGTCTCCCATTCTCTCCCTCTGTTGTCTGATTTTCTTCAAAGATCCCTGAATTTTGGATGTTCATTGATCTAACCTGTGATTCTAAACTAAATGAATGTTTAACGAGTGTGTTATTTCTTCGCTTAATGATTGAGCTCGCTGGTGTCTGAATGAGTTTCACTTTCGTTTTCGTGCTGTGCTCATGTAAAGCTTCACACCCATAACTATAAATAGTTCATCTTTAGCTCGGGGTGAGGAACTCCCCTGTTTTTTTTTTTGTCTGACCTGAAATGTGCGCTGAAGTGCTTTTAATTTATTTCGTTTTCACATCTTATGGTGTTTAAAAAAAAAAAACCAGACTCATCATCGGTGTTACCGCTTCCTCATGATCACAGTAGCATGAAAGATGATGGTGTCTTAATATGATGTTAAAATAGCTGTAAAGACGCTCATTTTACCAGCAATGATAATGACACAAAATTGGCTTTTGGATATTTGATTATTTTAATACGATTTCAAACCACATTAGAAAATCTGTCAATGACACACTTTCCCACAGTCTGCAGTGTTACTGCATCAACCCACCAGGGGTCCCACTGACACTACAAATGGATTCAGACTCATCAGTGAATAAGGTTTTCAACAGGTTCAGCTTCAGCAATTATGACAATGATTTTAAAGTTATTTTCTTAAGAATAAAGATTTCTAAAACTGGACAACAAACAAGGTTGGACAAAGGGTACAAATCCACAATGTTGTTTCAATTTTTGTGAAATCTAGAGGAATCCTTACACTTGTCTTTATCAAATACAACTAAAACTGAGAGCTGGAACAATTTCATAAGCTCCATAGATTCACACATTTGGGTGATTGGTTGGTATTCCTGCTTCTTCATTTTATTCATTTTTGTGAGTCAAATTTCTTTTAAATTGTCTTTGTACAATAAAAAAACAGAGCAAATTCCCAGATAAAGAAGTGACAATGTTAATTGGATGTGATAACTGGCACTGGTCTTGGCTTTGAAAACTTTAAATTGGTTAGAATTAAATGTGAAAAAAGAATAATTCTCTCTCACAAAAGCCTGACATTTTAATTTATTGTAATCTAATGTTAACACGTATTAGAAAATATGGAACTTGCAAATATAGAGCAATAATAAAACAACCCCAGTTTAAGTGAGGTAATCCTTGTGGTAGCTTCAGTGAGAAAAAAAAAGCATATTTTCCCAAACAATTCTAACATTATAATAAATACCTAAAGATCCTTCAGATTGACTTATATTACAGATTGCTCAGACATACCTTTACCTGTCTTTCTTCTTCCATTCACATGGTATTGTAATAACAAACAAGTGCAGCTTTTTACAATCAATGAAGGATTTACATGGCAGATTTGTGAATCATTTGCATCACCTGGTTGACTCCATCTTTCAACCCGCTCACCGTCCAGAGGCCCCGGCCTGACTGCTCCTCCTCCACCAACACACCCAGATCCTCTATCAGCTGTTTCAGGTCATTCACCTCATCCTGAGTGAGGCCTGCAAGCTCCTCCGTTCTAAAGGTTTGTGTGGTGCACTGAGATTGATACAGACTCTTGAGTATTGTCATGGCATTGTCAACGTTTTTTTTACACAGGCCAGCAATCGTGAAGACAGACTGCTGAACTGTGGAGCTTGTACACAGGATGCTTGGGTGAATATTGACAGCCTGTGGAGGAGGTTGTTGTGGGGCAGCAGCTCCCTCTGTAAAGTACATTAAAAAACAATAATCAGTAAACATGTTCCTTAAAAACAGATTTCTGAGCAGGACTGACAAGAGTTTCCTTTGCGTCACCTGTGTTGATTGCAGCAGAGGGAAACATCTGCATCACTTGCTTTTTAAACGCCAGGAAAACCTTGATTTTAATCAGCACAAGGCGGATGTTGGTGAGACACAGGAGTGGACTAGACGATGCAGTGATGTTAATTCCTCTGAGGATGACGCGTGCCACAAGATCAGTATCCAACCCACCAGCTCCTAGGCAATCATTCAAAGAGGAAATTGCATGGATAGATGGCACAGCCTTTGCTGGAGGATTCACGTTTAGATATATCTCTTGTTTTTTACGTGAGCATCTTAACTGTCTTACCAGCACAGATGGCCGGGATGGCCACAGACTTGTATCCAGAGGATTCACAAAGTTGAATTATGCGACACACCAGCTGATCCACAAGGCCGACATCCTTTTCTCCACCCACGTGCAAAATGGCTTTACAGGGGAATGAGCCAGGCCGGGTTTTCAAAACGTCTCCACGGTTCACTTTTGCTATACAGACACAAGAAAGACAACATGAGATAAGCTAAGATGCTGTGAACCGGAAATGTAGTGTACAGAGGGGTGACAAATTAAAGGAAAAACATGAAGCCATTGACCCCTAAAGTGAGGGGATGTGGTAGCTCTGTTGTGCTGTGGGAGCGTTTTGCTGGTTTGGAGGCACGAGGAGCCACTGAATGGTAACAAAATGATATGAGTCACATGCTGTGGCGTTCACAGTCACCAGATCTCAATCCATTTGACGCCGATGCGATATTATGGACTAACCTGTTAGACAGCCTTCTCCAAAACCGTCATCAGAACAAAACAAAAAAATTAATAGGGAATTTCCGTGTTCATTCCTCCAGAAGACTTCCACAGACTTTTAGAATCAATTCCAAGATGCACTGAAACTGTTGTGGAGGCAGACGATAGCTCAACATCTCACTACAACTCTTTATTTTGGTTTTTACTTTAATTTATCATCTGTCTGTGTATTTGGAAATGCATATCTTGAACCCTTTGTCTCACCTTTTCGTAGTTCATCCTCCACCTGGGGTCCAGCGACACTTAAGATGTCTCTGCACACACCTGTATATGAATGAAAATGATTATCTTTATTTAAATGACCCATGTACACAAATACATAAACTACAACGCATCTACCTCCTTCTAATGTTACTCTCACCTGTCTGAAGATTGATGAAGTCGGTTGTGTTTACTACAGCATCTGTTGTCTCATCGCTGATGTCACCAAACACCACCTGAAGTTTAACCCCGCCCCCCACTGTCACGGTGATGTCATCGAGGTCACTGGTGAGGGACCTGAAGATCGCTGAGAGGAAGAACGCACCAACAAGTTTCATGTGGCTTAATCAGCTGTCAAAACCGTTAAAAACAGGATTTTAAAATGATCTTTTAACGAGTGTGTGGATGTTTACCTTTGCCTGCCTGGTTCATGTTCATGCTGAGGTGTCTGTAGACATCATGGTAGCACTGTGAACACAAGCTTGTTTTAGGCTCTTTTAGTGTAATTTCACTACCTTTGTTTTTAAGCTCTTATCTTGGTTATTATAAGAGCTAGGCTGTTTTTCAGAAGTCTCTGATATCTAACTCGTCCACTATTTGATATGATAACACCTGCAGATTTTTTTATATTAGCCTTTCGATGAAGAAAAGCAATATTTTATTTAATGAAACTGCTGCTTTGACATGTATCTAGTAATGCTGGGAATAAAGATATCCTTTCACATTTTTTTATTTCTCTGTGTAGGAGATTCCAGAACCATGTTGGAGGAATTCTGTGTGACTGCAAATTCACACAAGAGCAATGGACGTCGAGATCCAGCATATCTGTATGCAGAGCGGTGCACAGGTTGGAATGATTAAATGTGATGTAAATTCAAAATAATGTTTCTCGCTGACATCTCGTTGTACAGACAAGCAACCGGCATTACAGGAAAGGTTGAGTGCTGCGGTTTCATTTGACATATACGACACCTTGCTGCAATAAATAACTTGATTGCAATTCAACCAAGACAAATGATGTACATTTGGATGCAAAGTGCATCCATTGGGCTCTAGGGTTAAACCTACAGAGGAAAATAAAAGCCTGTCACCTCTACAGAGTCGGGGTAGTCTGGTTTAATGACAACATGGATGGTGGAGAGAGAACCACATGAAGCAGATGATCCAAACCGGTGAATCTCGTCAGTCAGGACTTGAATAGCCTCTCTCAGCGGGTATTGTAAAGCCTTCCCTGGTCCAATGACCGGCAAGGCAACTGAACACCAACCCTGCTTTACACAGAGGTCCAAACACCTTTTCAGACCGTTACCAAGCACCTGCCAAAGAAAAACCAAAGATGGTTGGTAGCAAAATACAGTATGAACCATTCTGTTCTTAGTCTGTTTTTTTTTTAACCATTTAATGAATTTTGCCCATTGCTCTTATATCCCCAATATACTTGAGAGACTTCACTTCACCTGCATGCTCCGGCCCCTGACTCCATCCCATGGCAGACACTCGATAAAGAAGATCTTGGAGCAGCCCAGAGATGAAGGTGCATCAAGTTGCATGACATTACCAGCAGTAAGGGTCCACTTCCCTGCCACCTTGTCAAAGTTGTTCTGAAACTTACTCCTTCCTTTACTCAGGAGACATTTACCTATTTTAGTGGAGGTAAGCTTTCTGGAGACCATGGGGGCCACCAGCACGTGCACCTGTGGATATAATGTTAGATAGTGTTAAACAGCGGTGCAATATTCCCTGTATTGAAATTGTTATTTGTTAAGAAATCGTCTAACCTGCTCGTCCACCAAACTGCCAAGCCTGACCTCCAGAGTTGTTTTGTTGAGTGGGACAGTTGTGGTATTTGGTGTGCTGCTGGGGGTGCTGCATTGCTGTCTGCTAGTGGACATACTGGCTGTGTTGAAGCTGCTGTGTTGGGCTACTGTTGCTGTGTTTTGAGAATGCGCTTGTTGCTGCTCAGTGATGACGACCTGACAGGAGCTCTCTACCAGCTCTGTGCTTGCTTTACCTTCTCTCTGGAAGTACTGCTGCACCCCTGGTCCCTTTAGAAACAGCGTATCTGACTTCAGACTGGCTAAAGCTGTGTTCAAGTCTGCCTGAGCCTTCTGGATCAGACAGCGAGGGCCTGACACAACCACACAAGGATACGGGAAATGTGAGGCTTTTAGGGTTACACTGGTTTGCTTCATGCCAGTCAGGTCTAAGACTCTATGAAAACAGTCGACCAGTTCAGGTTTTGGCAGGTTCAGCACTTCTTGAGTCGCAACCTGATTCACTTTGTA